TGGCTTAAGGCTGCTTGACAAGACTTAATCTAGTCACAAATAAACTTATTTCTTTCGAGTGCAAATTGTAATCTTTGTGATATTGCAGTTGCTTTTCTCTCAGTGTATAGATTTGCTAGCTTGACTACCTAATCCGCCTTATCGTCGGCGCTCATTACATGACTTCCTCTCGCCGGCAAGGTCATATTGATAAGAATGCTGATGCCATCTCACTTACCCGGGCAGACTCTGTTCAAACTCCTCCAATCGGCTGATAACTGGTGCAATTTGTCTCTCCGGCATTTTGTCAGCTGTTCTTGTTGTTGCTGTGTTCCACACGAGACTCGAAATGAGTTGCAGATATAAGAGCGGCACTTGCACTGGTGGCGATAATTTTCAGAGAATATATATTTTGTGGGCTTAGCTAATGCTAATGCTGTTGTCTCGGCGACGGCTCAGGGTGCACTGTGAGTAGCTGGGATAGCGCAGTTTGCTTTTTAAATCGGCGAGGTTCGATGATAGTTCGTCTGGGTTGATAACGAATATCTCGCGCTCAGCTCAAACAAGTTTCTCGATTTTCGCACTCGCTCTCTTTCACGGCCTATGGCTTTCCGACTGTCTCTAATCAAGCCCTGAACTTACACTACTTGAGAATCTGAACACTGTGCGCTTCTGTTGCCGCCGACTTGAGTTTTTATAATAATTTCCACAAAAACTGTTTCGCGCATTGTTTTTTCTTTTTGTTTTTGGGAAAACAAAGGCGACGCCTTCCCCCCAGCCCCGACCTTACGTTCTCTGGCTTGTCTCTCAGTTCCCCGGAGTACGCAATGCATCATGCGTTGCCTGCGTGGCAGTTGCATGCTCCCCACACACAATGGGGCATTGCGCCCGCGCCCCAAGTTCGTTTCGGCAGAGCCATTTAATCCGTAATTTCGTTTTTAAGCATAAATTTTCCAATTTAATAACGCTCATAATTTTTCCATTTGTCTTATAAATTTTCCTCCTAACCTAGCAGGGGGTAGCTAAACAGGCAGGGGTTACCCATGTGCCTGTCTGTCCTGTCCCAGAAGTCTGTTCAATTGTTCTCTTCACAGAAGCATGAGGCGCATGCACTAACTGGTTTTGGCAGGTGTTATCTAAAAATAATCATAAAACTCAACAAATTTCTAAGAAAGGTTTCCGTGTTGTTTCAATAAGAAATATGGTTAGAAAAGGCTAGCAAAACTTATGTTTTGCCAAAAACTTCTTAAATAACTCATTCGCTGACCTCGAAAAAAAATACATTAATTATATTTAGTAACAAACAAAGAACAACGTTTAATGACATTGTTTTTAAGGCATTGCACTTTAGTCAAATATTTGTTTAATATTTATATTTATTGCTACACGGGCTAAATACTAGCAAACATAGATTAAATACAGTAATTCCTTTTATTTAAGGATTTTGATTGTTTAAATGAACACATTTTTAGATCTACAAAAAATTAAAAACTATGCCAAAATAAGATAAGAAAATCACAACAATTTTGATCACATTTCTAATATAATTAGTTAATATAGAGATATATGTGCATAATCATAAATCCCTACCCCATTTGTAAAAAAAATGTTCGTGTTGTTTCCATAAGAGATGTGGCTTGATATAAGTATTAGGAGAAAATTGCAAAATTATAAGAATTTTTTATCTGTTTACTTTTAGATGTATTTAACTTTAAGCATTTCCAATTTATTGATCTCCGGACTCAAGACTCCACATACTCAACAGGTTTATATTTGTCTATTAACATATTATAATTTACAATATCTGAAGAGCTTTAAGTAATATCGTTTTCTATATCAAAACTATGTAATGCGCCCTTACAATTTTGATGAATTATTAGTTTATTTATGAGTTACGATTAGCTATAAGCTTAAAGTGCTAATAATGACGACATGATTTCCTGAGGTATTCTAAAAGTAGCACCTGTCTAAAATTAGAATAAACTATATGCGGGAGATTCCCTATAAAACATAAGCGGCAGGCTTATGGACGTCATGCTCTAATCAGGAAATAATTGATAAAAAACCTGACCAGTTCGACTGAAACTCCACGCCAGCTGTGCCCCATGGAGCACAGTGGATCACGCTGTCTGCTTGGGCTGCACGAGTGCCAAATCTGTCTGGAGCATGCCATAAGCGCATGCTCATGCTCACACAATCCGCAGACCGGGAACCAAACTGTTTGCTCACGATATTTGACTGCAAAGGCGATAAATACGCGCATTTATTGGAGAGCCAAAGCGCCTAATCTAAAACAAACAAGTTGCTTTCCATAGAAGTAAAGATAGGTATATCTGCAGCCTCGGGCTGTCGGGTCGCCCAGTTAGTCATAGCTCCTCCTCCGAGTGCTCCTTCGGGCAGACAGCTCACTCTGAGTGCTAATACGAGTTAATTACAATTAAAAACACGAGAAATTCACGTTGTCAACAAGTGTCTTTGGCCTCCGTCGCATTTCAAATATTATCACAATCAAATATTGTTGACATCGATTTTTCCATTGGCCATTATAAGAAAATTTGCTACTATTAATCTTAAGCTATTCAAATGTTGTTCACTCACTTGTGATTGCTTTGATTAGTTGTCGCTATTTTTGGCTTTAAATATTTAAATGTTCAACTTTGTAAGCGGACAACGTAATTTCTATTTGTTCAAGTCAATTGGTAAATATATTTTCTAAACGATCTCATATGTTTTTGTTTTCTTCCGATAGCTTTCGCAGAGCTTTTTTTTGCAAGAATATCTGTTTTCCAAACGATCGGGCACCATAAATAGAAAAATCCATAAACATAAAATACGGCGAGAGAGCGCAAGTGCCTAAATGGCTAAGTTTAAGTGCGCACAGTGGGGCAAAATAAAGCAAATCCGTAAAAAGTAAAAATCTGTGAAATTAAGTTCGATTTATAAATAATCGATCTTGCAAACAACTTATTTTTTTTTTTATTACGATCTTGCAGATATGTTAGGTGAAAAGTTTTCCATATTAAGCTATATGATATGTTGGTAATTTCAAAATTCAATATTCAAAGTTTTGTTAAGATATTTTGAAAACAATAAGTTATTCAGGCTGTAATACAATTTTGATCCATTCTTCCTTAGCTTCCTATATTATAAACTAGTTCGATCCGGTCGTTTCCGGCTCGGACATGGCTTAATCGACTCGGCTATTCTATTGATCAAGAATATAAATATTTATACAAATTAAATGCATGTCTACAGCCAAATCTAATATTGGTTTGTCCAAGGCCAGAAATCACTTTCTGCTTACATTATTTTCGGCTGGCATTTAGGTAAACAAGTTGTTTACTAGTACTAAGTAAATCATTCTCTCAATATAATAATGCTGTTTTTACTTTCTGACATGCATTACCCCAATCATCCAAACGATCTCTCAGATCGGTTTATATAATCACCATAACTTTGTAAATTTTTATGTTAGACCTAACAGTAGAATAAGTTGTTTTGTAAATATTTATATAAGTTTAATTAAAGTTGTTTCCATAATAACAGTAAAATTTAAAAAAAAAAAGCTTTACCCCAATGTTATAAATAAAAGACTTTAATTCGTGTTTATAATTTAAACAGATCTTAAGGGACAAAATGCGTGTAGCATGCTTTCTGGCGTCAAATAGTTTTTTAAACTCGCCGCGCTGTGTTGCACTCATGTTATGTTTATACGATCCTAAAAGTATGCTAACATTTTTTAACTGAATTTCGAATATACTGAATTGTGTTGTTAGACTTAACTGTAGAAAATGTTGTATTGTAATTATTCATAAAAGTTAAATTAAAGTTGTTCCTTATTAACAGTAAAATTAAAAATAAAAGACACAAATTTCAAAATTAAAACAAAAATAATTAACTGAATTGTGTATTGTGTATATTGATTTTTAATTTTGAATTTAAAGTGCAATAATTGTAAATAATTACTATTAAAATGAGCAAAGCTTTTGCAGAGGGCTAGAATTAGAAACGAAGTATTATTTGATCTTATGGATTTATTAATATATTTTTTTATGCAAAGTTGTATTATTTTCTTTGAATTCTTTAGGCCAAATATTATATTAAAATATAAATATACGCATAATTAAATATTTAAATATAATTTTAGTTGTATTTGCTTTAAATTCGTTAACCCAATCAAACGTTTTATATTGGAATATGTAAATATATTTATACACATATTTTCTTTTTAGTATATGATTTAATATGTTGCTGTTGATTTGTAATACTCTTAATGAAATAAATAGATATAGTTCTAAGCTTCTTAAATTCTACAAAGCATTGTTAATTATATTGAATTAAATAATTAAAAGACTATTCAATCAGAGCAATTAGACAGAGAAGCAGCTCAATTAAGAACCAGTTTGTAGCTTTAAGATTGGTATATTTATTTGTACACTGGATAGATATATGTAGATATATGTATATAGACGAAGATTAAATACCCTTGTAAACATACGCCATAAAGTAGCTTTTATAAAAAAAAAACTTTGTTTTCGATAAATCAGTTGTCAGCTGTCCGATGTTGATAAGATTTCACTATATAGGGGCAAGATATTTAAACAAAAGTTAGTTTATACAAAAACATAATTTTTGATCTTCAAGTTGAATACTGATCAAGAATATATATACGTCACAATTGATGACAACTGATTTAATGCCCTCAACGATGCAAACTACGCGTATTATTAAGTCTTGATCGTGAAGAGCATATTAAGCCTTAACTGCAGATCCGCAAAACTGCATATTTTATGTGGCTTTAAAAATGACTCACATCTGTTTTATGAATGCAGCTAGTAGAACATCTGTAACCAGTTGTGCCTTCAAGCGAACTGGGGGCAATCCCCTCGATCTATATACCCAGACACGCCTAAGCGTGCTACTCTTGTGACGTTTTAATACAAACGACGCTGAATTAACAATCAATACCAAAATATCTGCCCTGGGCCTTGCTTATAAACACGCGACGGGTCGTTTGACGCTCTCAGACGCGTTTCAGTTTCACAGTCAATCGGACAAATTCTCAAATTCGGCTCTCGCACACAAAAATATGGAAACTTCCCATTTATTCGGTTGGTTTTTTGTTTTAGTAATTGATAACAAAAAAAAAACTTGAAATCAAATAGCTAATAAAATTACCGGTTGCAGCTTTGTTTTTGCTAATCGCAGGGGTTAACGCCTATCCGCAATTCGCGAATTGGAATGCACGCAGCCCCGACGATCAGCTGCTGAATACATTCATCAGAGGGCAGCCGATTGGACCTTCCAGCTCGACGACAACGCCACAGCCAACAACAGCATCGTCCCGCGTCCTGGCCTGCATCCAATCCTGTCCGGCGACCAGCGAATATAATCCCATTTGCGGCAGCGACAATGTTAACTATTATAATGCGGGACGTTTCGACTGCGCCGTTCGCTGTGGTCAAAGTAGGTCTTTTTTTGCTTACGAATTAGCCAAAAAAAAAATTAATTGAATAACTTTTATTTTTAGATATTCGTCGTTTACACTTGGGAATCTGCAGCACAACGTAGAGCACAGCTGAATGGGAATTTTAATTCTTCCAGCAACTAGTCTGTTCCACAATCTACAGTTCAATGCTTAATGAATGACCTTTAAAAAAATATGTGAATAAAAACAAGCGAGCGCTAATTACGCGACGGTGCTTGACCAACTGATACCCTGTACAAAAAATAAATAAAAATACCTATACATATAAATCACTAAGTCAACATTTTGGCTAAACTCGTTAAATGCGGAGAGAAAAATATCTTTGTAATTGAAAATCAAAATTCTGCGGTGGACAATAATTTACGAGAATTTTATTTTAAATTTCTGTATTACGTAATTACAATTATGACGAATATTAAGAGTAATGTGATTAAAGCCTGATTTAAAAAAGATTTTATAAAATCATTGTTTAAAATTAAAGTTCTCTTGTTTTAACTGAGGAATAGATCGAATGTAAGGAATAGATCTAATGTAAGTTGTAGCTACTACAATAAGTTACATTTTGAACTTGAGTCGCAAGTGCATACCCAACCAGGGCCATTTTATAAGGTATAACAAACAGATTAATCAACTGAGATTTCAATGCTCACACTCTCGCATTATTCGCCGCTAGTCTAATGTGTAAAAAGCCGATGCCAAACAGTCGTAGTCGAAACGTTTCGCTGTTTGCTGCGTTTCAAGTGAGAGATTTACAAAAAAAAAAAAATAATACACACAAAATGCTGAAACCAGGGCTTTTTCACATAGGCCGTAAGTCGAATATTCCCACAATTTATGTAGTTTACATATGCTTTTACACGTATACAGTTTTGTTGGTGGTGCTGGGCCAAGCGCTGGCCGTTGACTACTCCAATCCCAAGTCGCAGGTGGAATATATAAGTGCGCAGCCAGGAGACAAGCCCAACATTGTGCCAATAACGCGGCCTCCGTTGCTTAACCAAACACCGCCGCCGCCGCCGGGCAACTCCAAGAATTTTGCATACAATCCCAAAAGTCAAACCTGGACAAAGATTGATGCGCACGATCCACAGCCGGATGAAGATACACTGGTCTGGAATCAAAGCAATGATAAATGGCTTACTAGAGTGCCAGGATCTTAACCAAGAACACGCAACAATATTCGCGAACACGCACGCAAGTTTCGATTAAATCAACACGACACGCACGAAAATTTATATCTCAAGCAAAGTGTTAATCAAATTATTTACTTTTATTTTATTTTCGAAATCTTATAGAAAATGCATATTTATACACACTGTTTATTACGCACAATGCTAATAAACGATTGAAAATAAAAATGTATCGATAAATACCTTTTATTCCTTTCGAAATATATATGAAAAGTATATTGGTAACATTTAAATTGATTTTAAACCAATACAATATAAATTATTTTTACCACACTCTAAAATCGGAATAGGTAATAATATAGCTGCCATATAAAGTAAAAAGGGGTTTCCAAAAATCGTTACACATAGTTTGGGTCTTTTACCATAGATTTAATTAATTATATAGTCCAGCGGCTCATATTTAACGTATTTTTATAAACAAAAAATCAAAATGAAAATGACCATTTTTTTATATATATATTTTTTTTATTAAGCTTTAAAGTCAGAAATTGGCGTATAATGTTATTTTTTCTCAATTTTTCGTTAAGCTACAGAAGTATTCCTGAGCTATTGATTTTTTTTAATGCTTTGAGGACTTGACACATTGGTGTTAAGGTATTTGAAAGAATGGCAAATATATATAAACAATAAAAGTTTTGAAAATATTTTTAAGAAACCTTTCTTACGAAAAATATCTAGCATTCCACTTCGGTTTAAGAAATCCCGAATCTATAAAAAAATATCGGCTTCTTCAAACGCGGTTAGAAAAAATGAAATTCGGTTGCATAGTGTAATTGAGCATATATAATTATGTTTGCAGCTATTGCATATATTATACTTTATACGATAAATACAGCTACATAGTATACATGTAATTATGTCAGCGATGATGACGCAGAGTCTCCGTTGTCGAGGCTGTCGTGGGCGTCTGCTGTTGCCTCATGCGGCACAGCTCGTTGGCGCTGTAGTTGAGCTTGCGCAGCGCGGTCTCCGCGAATTTATCGAACTTGGTTGTGAGCTGGGCAACCTGATCCTTGAGCACTTGCAGCTCGACGCGCCAGTCGTTCGGCTTCAGTTCGTGCTCCTGGCGCAGCTGTTGTGGCACATTTGTAGCGGAGCGCGGACGCAGCAGCTCGTTTATCTGGAAAACCTGGGTCTTTGTCGCGCACGGAGTTTCGAGTTGTTGTCGTTGCGGCGACGCTTTGGACTCCGCCTTGGAGCCCGCCGGCTGGCGCTGGCGCACACTGCGACTGAACATGTGGTAGTTCTTCTCGAACTGGCGCCTTCGCATGCTCATATTACGATCACGCCGCTCCGCGACCAGCTTGTATATGTTCAGCTTGATGTCCTCCGGCAGCTGGGAGCGATCGCGCGGATCATTTGGACGCACCGTGAACTGCAGGCGGTCGCGCGAGGTGCGCAGCAGAGCCTTGCGCTTGCAGTAGTCCACAAGTGGGGCATTGCGCAGCAGCCTGGAAAAGAAGAGACTCTCCAGGCGCGATATCAACTCCGCCTGCCGCACCAGTCGGTCCAGCGTGGCGGACACCTGCAGGCCCTGGATATCGCTGACGGCCAGGCCCAGCATCAGGTTGGTCAATATCACCGTAACCAGCAGCACGAAGGCTAGGAAAATGATATGAGATGTGACTGGAAACTTCACCGCATAGTCGCCATAGAAGATATCCTCGAACTCCAGCTCGCCGGACATCATGGTGAAGGACTTGAGGAAGGACCATGTTATATTCTCAAAGGCCGGATAGTCGTTGAAGAGCACCGCGAAGCTCAAGCCAAAGGCAATCAGCAAACAGATGTAGGCCATCAGGAACTTGCCAAAATTGACAGCGACTGCAAACGAATTATTATTTCAGTTGCTGGAAAAGTTGAACTTCTGCTCATACCCTTGGTAAACATTTGCACATAGACGCCAAATATGGGAAAGCGACCCACCAGCATCATCAGCTCCAGCCAGACCAGTAGAATGACCACCGCAGCCACATGATGCTGCCACATGGGCACAGCCAATAGATCGCCGGTCCATAGTATTTCCGGTGTCTGAAAATATAAGAATGAAGAGTTTATTTTTGGGATCCCAACTGCGCAAATATTACAGATTTACGAAAGAATTTTCTTATCTATATAAACCCTTTTATTATACAAATCCAATTACAATAAAAAATATATTGATTATACTCGAATTTTAGTAAAGGAAAGTTTTAGAGCTTAAATTTGTACGGCTTGTCTCTGTTCTAGTCTTTAAAAAAATGTTGCCATAATAAGAAGTAAATGAAAATTTGTATTAAAGAATTTTTTCAATATAACTGCAAAAACCTTAAGAGTTTCCAAGTTTCGCTACAATAATTGAAAATATTGAGAGAATAATATATTCAACAATTTTTTGAAAACAAAAGAGTATTTCAGACAAGAACTTGATTTTCGACAGATCGGGGAATGATGGTAAACTATTCCAATGTAAAGTTTTTAATATTTATATTAAGGCTCTATATTTGTTGGGTAATAAATAATTTTATAAAGGCTCTATATTTGTCGGGTAGTTTCTATGAAATGCATGGAAGGGAATCTGGCTTATTCAGAAAACCATTTCCTTTTGAATATTCTTAATTAAAGACTTGGGAATTGAGCTTTGAATAAAAAAAATAATATTTGCTTAAGTATAACAGTTTGTAGATTTAAAATAATCGTAAAAAGTTCGCAATGGAAGTACAAAATGTCGTTCATAGAGAACTGTATTTATGTTTCGTATTTAGAAACTTTTGGGATTACAAATATTTCTTTAAAAAATAAATTTGGGTGACATAGTTTGTACTTTAACTGAGTTCAACATTCTCGTTTTTTTCCCTGAGTTGGTTGGCTATTTCGCTCAACTAATCACGTTGATCAATAATATTTAAAGTATTCTATTTGATACACTGGTTTTTACGTTAAGTTTCCTTTCTATCAATTGGAGTACTACATACCACACATAGAAGCACACCGAAGACAATGGTCCATTGTAGCCAGTTTTCCCAGTACTTGGCATAGCCGTGCAGGCCGTGCGCCATTTGGAAGAGCTCCTTGCAGAGCAGCATGAGATTCAGGACGATCACAAAATAGCCAATGGTGGTCACATAGCCGGGTGCCAGACACGTCTCACCCTCCTTGCAGCAGCGCACATAGACACCGATCACGAAGAGGGTGAAGAGCATCACGAAGCAGGTGTGATAGGCGAGGCTCATGAGGAAGAACTTGCGTATGCGGCGCCACTTGAGGAAGAGAAAGGTTTCGCATAGCGGATGCATAAGTATGCGCTTCTGGCCCACTTCGATGAGGCTCAACATTAGCTCCGCCTCGCCCTTCTCCGTCGACGAGCTGGGCACAAGAAGATGAAAGTCCAACTTAATTTGGCAATCGACATCCCCAATCTCGTGATCATTCGCCTTGATCGAGCTGTCCAGCTTGTGCATTAGCTTGGGTATTATCTCCGGACAACGCCGGACAATGAATGTCAGAGCCGTTGTGTGCCCGTCGGTGCGAGCAGTCAGATCTGCGCCATTTTCTGTGAAGTTCTGAAGTTAGAAAGAATCGGAGGTTATGCATATTACCCACCTATAAAGATGTAGACACAGCTGCTGAACTCGTTAAGGGCGGCAATATGCAGGGGCGTGTATCCATAGTCATCCGCCTTGTTGACATCGGCACCGGCCTTAAGGAGCGCATTGCAGCAGTCCAGGCAACGCGACTGCTTCACGATGGCGGCATGCAGAGCGGTGCGCCCGTCCCGATAAACGGCATTCACATTGGCGCCGTGCTTCACCAGAATCTCCACGCTGCTTAGCGACTGGGAGAGACAGGCCAGGTGCAGTGGCGTCTGCTGGCTGGCATTGCGACAGTTCACATCGGCGCCGTGCTCCAACAGCAGCTGCACACATTCCGCATAGTCATTCTCGGCGGCTGCACGATCGCCAAAATGTCAGTTTGCTTACTTCAATGTAAATCCCAACACCGTGCTTACCCAGGTGTAATGCCGTCACCTTGCCTTCGCCGAACTGGGAGCGGACGTCGGCATTGTGATTCAGCAGCAGCTGCACGCACTTGGTGAATCCGGATGCGCAGGCGGTATGCAGCGGTGTCTCAGTGTACACCTGCGGTGTATTCGGATCGGCGCCATATTTTAATAGAGTTTCCACACAATCGACCGCATCGCCGTCAATGGCATAATGCAGGGCCGATCGCCTGTTAATGCCAATATTGATATTCGCTTTCCGTCTCAGCAGCAGTAGAATACACTCCACGCTTTTCGAACTGAAATTATGAGAGATTTGCATAGTTCGATTTTGTCAGGTTCATTGTAAAGTTCATGTCAATTCTTGAGCGGTTAAATTTAGTGTTATGCAACATTATAAAGAAAGTTTACAGTTATATTCACAATCTAGTTGAAATTATAAAGTTTAAAATCTTTATATTTGTAAACATAAAGATATATATTTTGTGTTTAGAAACAGTATGAAGGGCTGTACTGAGATTACAGAAATGCTTTTCATTTAGTCGCATAAAAAAATGTACAATGAAGATAAGGTCCCGTCTAACTTTTGGCTCTCATATGCAGCTAAGATGTAGCTTAAGTGCTTTGTCTTCAAAAAGGTGTCAACGCTTATTTATAATGTAGACAATGTGCCTTGCAAATATTGACACTCGGATTAAATTGGGATAATCTTTACATATGTTAATACAAAATTTACCCAAGACTTTGTTTATCTAGGTTCGGTTAAGAACCTGACCTGGATCTATCTTTGCCTTCTAATCGAGAACTAAATAAAATAAATGCGATATGTCGAGGACTAATTTTAAATAGTTCTATGATATGTCAAAGCGCTAATGAAAAAGAAAAGCTGCTTAAACATTTCTTCGTGTGTATTGCTTAAGAGTCTAGAGATTTGAAAAGCCGTAAGAATATTGCGTTCATATTTGGACTCGATTCACCTGGCAGCGCAATGCAGCGGCGTCACTTCCTTCTTGTCCTCCCAGCGATTGGGATCCGAGCCACGATCGAGCAAAACTTTGGCTATGGCCGCATTCGCGCGACAACAGGCAAAGTGCAGCGGGGTGCGACCGCGGCTATCTGAGGTATTTGGATCCGCATTGTAGTGGGTCAACAGGTAGATGATATTCTCGACGGAACCGTAGATGGCACAGCATATTAGCGCCAGGTTGCAATCGCTCGGCTCGATCATTAGCTCTGCAGAGCAGCGGAAAGTAATAAAAAACTTAATTGCGAACTATTGCCAGACGCGCTCTCACCCAGAAAGCAACCGGATTTGACCATGTCCAGAATATGCGTGCCATTTGGGACCGCGCACAGCGTCTCCTCGATCTCCTGCGGCTGCCAGAGCACCTGGCTCTGCTGCTGGCGTGTGAAAATCTCATGGGCCTCATTGCTGAAGACGGCATCGCTGTTGGCCTCGCTGGAGATGCTGCGCTTATCAAACAGCAGATCCATATCGACCGTCTCGCTCTCCGACTGCCATTTCAGATCGTTTTCCTGCCAAGACAAATAAACGAACCAGAGTACCGGGCAGAGATGGGTGTACGGCGGGGGGATTGGTGGGCACTTACGATGATGGAAAAACGCACATTCTCCATTCTGTTGATGTGTGTTTACACTTTTGTGGCCTACAAAATAAACTAATTGGTTGACCATACGGAATCTGGCCACAGCATTAACATCATATGTGTCCGCCAGCTCATTCATGCATTTGCCATCTCATGCCACATACATTTTCCGTTCCCGCCTGCAATCAATCTTTTGATCTGCCTGTCGTCATCAACGCCACAGATTCGCAGTTTCTTTCTGCCGACCAAGTGGGTTGCTCTGTTTTTCTTGCTGCCTTTCGTATATGGTTTGTTTATTTGGAAATCTCCAAAATATTGAATTGTTTTTCAAACCGAAGCACGCTGTACGTGCAATTTATTACACCTCCGCCCCTCCTGCCTTGTCGATCCCCTTGCTGCTCGCTGGCTGTTCAGTTTTTCCAGCACTTCTACGGTTATTCGCGTTCCGTGCTCGACGAGGTGCTAATGTGAACTGGCTGTGGGAGCTGTCGGATCGAAATGCCTGCACAACATTTTGCCTCATATATATTTTCTTTTTTTTTGTGCTGTTGTATACCCTGTATTTATTCAAGCTGAGCATAAGAGAGAGTATAATTAAGTTCAACATTTTTCAATTGAAGAAAGTATCTCTGATTCATCAAAATTAATTCGATCGATTATTCACCCATTTCTTGAAATCTAAATGTCTGTATGTAATTGTAGAAATTTAATAATATTAATAATAGTTTGTTATAAAATAAAAATTCTGTATATTAACGGAACCATCCCGCGAATAACGATTTATACTACAAAAAAATAAATAAGATAATACAATATATATTATCCTTTCTGACTAGAAACCAGGGTATAGTTTCCTAGAAGAAAGTTAGAAAGTGAGATGGGCGAAGCACGAATTTTCTTATGTGTATATGTTTACACCCCAACTTGAATAGCTTTACCGCAACTTTTAAAGAGCTTTACATTCTAATTATCCAATAATCAGTTAAATAAGTTTCGTCTGTATTCATATTCGTATTTATATTCATATTCGTATTTAGAGTTTTTGGGGTTATAGACAAAGGATGCTTTAAATCGATCGTTGTTCCCGCAGTACTAGGGCTTTTCGTAAAAGCCAGATGGAGGGAAGAGATTCTACTCTCATCTACCCTTCTCTTCTGCCGTTATCCGTGTGTTTAAGTTACAATAGATGTGAATTAGCACATTTTTGTTCTTTCATTTGAATGCATTATGTGAAAGTAGAGTACAGTGGAAGATAATAATGAAGACGCAATGAGGTGTCAGATGTGATTCATTCTATTTGCTTGGGAAACTAACATTTTTGGCTACGTTCATGTTATGCCCTGTTTATGGCTAGGGCATCCCCAGCAATTGGCTCGTCACAAGCAGCTCTTAATTTCGTCTGCTGTCCAGTTTAACAAAGAGATCGTTTTAGCCTTTGCTCTTAGCACTGTGAGATGAGCAAAGTAGACCTCAACTTTGCGCTCTTTGGCATGCTACATGCGTTCTTTATTTGTTCGCAAAGCTTCTGAAAGCTTCAAACTAGCGGGTGCCGTAAATAGAAATGGCAATAATCAGAAATCTCGCACAGTGGACTAATGGAAACACTGGGATGGCATAAAGTGGATAAGAGAATGTGAACAGCGGGTTGAGAAATGAATAAAAGGATATTTGCAGATCACTTTACTTAGATAATTCTCAAATAAAACCAATAACAATTATATATATCAAATAATTCAAGTTTTAATGATTAAATTCACGTTTAGGTTAGTTGATTTTCACTGTAAAACTTCCATCTTAAAATAACAATTAAAAAGATTGCCCAAATTACATTTATTGTGAAACTCCATCGAAACATGTCAATTATAATGAAATATATCCATATTACGGACAAATTAAGATTTTCAACATTTGTAAACACAAACTAAATGAAGTATTTTTTTTTATACAGCGCACAAGATCCACATTTATCAGAAATTCTTAAAGCATGTCGAATGCTTTAAGTGATTGGCGACCTTGACTTTGATATTTGAATGTATCATTAATTTTTTTGGGGTCTTGCGGAAACTACAACGGAAATTGTGTACAAGTTTAATAAATTATCGTGCTAGCTTCTCTCTATGAAAATTCAACACCTCGCACAAGCTGATGTATTAAAAAGTTTTCATCTTTGCAAATTAGTTGCTGAAGCCGCAAACAACGCGTGGACGGGGCAGATGAGGAGCACACCTTTTGGCTGTTGCTGATGCGTAAACAACATGAATGCAAAGTGACAGGCAGCTATGACGACGCTGGCATTTGGCCGGTGAGGGTTAAAGGTAAGGGCCCAAAGGCGACCACCGGTGGGTTAGATAGGGTTAAGAGCAGGGGGGGGGGGGGGGGCACAATTGCCTCGGGCAGTCAAGCGTAATGAATGCACACACGCAGTGCCTGCCAAAATTAATGCTCACCCCGTTCCGAGGGGCGAGGCAGTGACATTCCCAACCTGTTGCCAATTGAGACACGGACGCACAGCCGCTTGTCCAAAGCAATTAGTGACAGGGACCCGACGCCCACAGCTGATTAACGGCGCCTTAAGAGAATGTCCTAAAGGCTTATACCCTTTATCCTAATAATAAACAACAGTCGGAAGATTTACAGAGAAAATTTCCAACAATAATATTTCATAAATGACATTAAATAATTTATAAGAAACTTTTCGAAACATTTCGTAATTTCAATATTCAAAAAAAAATTGTATTGAAAATTAAAAATATTTATAAAATGTTTTTCAAATTATCCATAATGGAAAGTTGAGAATTCTTCCTATACATACTTTTATGTACGAAATTTTAAATAAAACTTCAAATACCACAAAAAAAATTAAAAAAGAGTTAATTTGGTATTTCCAGAGGGATATAAAATAAAAAACAAATTACAAACAAATTCATTTAAAGTCAGTTTAATTTATAATATATATTATAGTGTACAAATGTCGCACAGTCACATTGAGTCCGAGTTTCGCTTCCGCCAAGACAAGTTCCAGACACTTCTGAGTAGATATTTGTATGTTAAGGATAGTTAAGGTCGTGGTTGTCTCTTTCCAAAACTCACAAACATAAATATGTACATATAATAAGCATTATGCACACATATCCTATGTGCTAGGCCATGTAGCCTGATGGGTAGCTTAGCAAAAAAAAAAAGAAACTACCTAAAATAAAAAACAGGCCACCTGCCGATGTCAACAGGTTGCCCTTCTGTATGTATGTGTACGTATTTACATTGTACGTGCGCGTGCTTGTGCCTGTGTGCACGTGTATGTAATTTGGCTGCCGTCGTCTGTGTTTGGACTGACATTAGTCATGTAGCATAGACAATGTTTGCATATTGGCCTAAAAAAAATATAGTAATATAAAACACGTGTGGGACAAACTTTGGCTAAAGGTCAGCTAAGCAAAACAACTCCCGCAGCGGTCAATTCGGCATGCCGAACAACAAGTATTGAAAGATTTTTGTTTAATATATGCAGTTTTTTATTTACTATATTAACTAAGCATATTTTTACATTTTCTAAAATTTATTCAAATTTAATTTAAACCCAATTGCAGTTTTTAACATTAACCGTTAAACGCCAGCTACTGTATGCGCATGTAACAGGTGCTGTTATGCTGGGCAGCAGCTTTTAACATGCTGTTAACAGCCCAAAAAAGCTATAACATGCTGTTAAACGGTCAGAGATGCGCGCCGTTTAGCGGGTTTTCAGCTAAAAACTAGCTGAATTGTGTTATTAATTGCTTGGAATTAATAAATTATATTATTATCAATAAACGCAAACAAATAAAATACATATATATAAAATATAAATAGATTTAGCATACAGCAGATATGTGTGCATTCATATGTCTGCTAGCACATTGATGCTAACTGTTGTTGCTGCTGTTGTTGCTGCCGGCATTGGTTGAATTGTTTTTGTTGCTGCTGTTGCCGATGTTTATTCGCCTGTTTCAACGCCAGCGCAACGGACGCGTCGTCGCTTTGCCGCCAAACTCCCCATTGTGAGAATTGTCGTGTTGCCGCCGCTGTTTGACGTGTTGTTGTGGGCGTTCTGTGCACTTCCGTGTGAAAACTCTTTTGCATTTTACAACTGCACGAGGGGGCCTGTGAGTGGCGACTGTCTCCCCATACCCTCCGACGCTCTCCAGTTGACAACGCCGCGCAGTCGCCACGCGGTTTTCTTTTTTTTGTTTTTATATATTGCTGTTGTTGTTGTTATTTGGCTGTTGTCGGCTTGTTGCGGATTTTCATTATTGTTTTACAATGGCCTCTTGGCCGCGTCGCAATAAGCAGGCATCGGCATCGGCATCGGCATCGACATCGGAACTACTTGGAGGGGGTAGTTTAAACATGTGCATATAAAAGCATAATTGCTGTGTGCCTTTGGCTTAATACGCGACAGGAACTTAAGCGTGAAGGTTCCTCCACCAATCGAAAGCTAAAACAAAATAAAAAAAACAAATAAAAGAAAATGAAATAAAATACGGGCAGCACATAAACAAATTTCGAAAGTGCAAATTAATAAATAATTTCCTGTTGCAGTCACACGGTGCGTATTCTTACTTCTTGTGTGTGTGTTAAAAAAATTTAAAAAAAAACCTAAAATGTAGTATAAAAACAAACACTTGATTGACCAAATAAACAATATATAATTTCAAAAAATATACGTTGCGTGGCTTGTATTAAATTTATAAACAATTAAAAGGCGCACAGTGGCGTCGTTAAAGTCAGTTTGAGGGGGATTTGTGTACGACTCTAGCTGCAAAAATGTCAAAATTATTTAATTTAATCATATTTAAAAAATTTAATTTAAAAAATGTTTTGCATAGGACCAAGTGTATACCCCATTGGGACGCCTCTGGCTGCGTAGATGTTTACATGTTAGCACCACAAGCGACCTCGACTCGTGGTTTCTGCGCTGATCATAATTTAACCAAATATGTTTGACCCTCTCATAATTTTTTTTGCTACATGCAGGCATTATTAGCTAATTGTGTATATATATGCTTACAACATAGAAAGCAATTAGAACTGTTTAGAATTAAAACTCTTTCAACTTTTATTTTGTTTTTTTCATAGATATCTATAAAATAAATTGCCAGTCAGAATTAAATAAAAACATGCTTGTGAAAAAAACTTTCCATTACAGAATTCAAATAAAATATATATATATAGAACAAAGAGTATTCAGACTTTCATATTCAAAGCAAAAATATATTTTTGCTTGTGTTAATCATTTTAATTAGCTGAAGCTAGTTTCGCGTATTTCCGGAATGACTTTGAAAAATATTAGAAATAAATAAAGTTAAGAAAAATTGTTGATGTCTACATCGCGAGCGCTTGTAGATTTGATTTGTTTGATTTGTTTTAAATTTGGCCGCAAGGTCAGGGGAAAAAAGTGAAAAGCCAATTCGTTGCACAACTTGACGGTCAATGTGTGTTTGCCACGAGCCAATATAATGTGTGGCAAATTGCAAACAGCCCAAACCACTGTCATAAAGCTACTTACTAGCTAATAGCACCACCCAACATCGGCTTGTTTCTGGCTCTTACTTGTGGCTTTTATTTGAAAAGCCACAAACAAAAGCGCTTACGTTTTTATTGCCCTGCAACCGCAGATGTCGTCATCAGCCAGCCTGACGGCCGCCGACGGTTTTGGTGTGGTTTACATCGCACCGCTGGTGACAATCGCCGCATCATAATTCATTGTTCATTGGGATTGAGTGTCGCCGAAGACGCGGTCATTTACGAGCCGATCGTAAAGGCATTGAAGCTGCGCCCAGACAAATGGTTAGCCACCATGTTATTGATATTCAAAGTATATGAAGTATACGACGTGGGTGACGGCGCGCTCGAGCAGGGACAGGGCATAAAAGCCGAAAGTGTAGTTAAAGGCTGCCTGGCGGAAAAGTCTTTGGGACCTAAGCCTAAGCATACATCCGAGCTGAATGGGCCGAAAAAAATATGCAAGAAATCAATGAACTGACACAGCATATGATTTTATTTATTACAATATTATTTTATGCTGAATTTTGTTTCGCAAAAATCAATTGTGAGGAGAGAACAAGTGATAAAAGATATTGAAGCAGTTTGCACCTATATGTGCAGCCACAAGCTATTGTTATTCAAAATACATGCGACATAAAAGACGAAGGTATTTAAAGGCTGCTCTATGGAAATGTGTGTCTCATACGTGCAGAAATAAAAGCCTTAAAGCACAATCAATATGCTCGTAAGCATTTGCTGTGATTTCACTTATTATATTTTGATAGGGAATTATTTCCGGCAAAGAAGTATATATTGATTTCATAAAGTAGGTCGCTGCGACCGATTAATGTTCAAAGGACAACAAGCATACGACGCGTGTGACGCAATGAATAGCCAAGAAAAAACGTTTGAATATTTCTGTAATTAATATGGGAAAATATATAATGCAAGTTTTCTTAGTTTATGACGAAATGAATGAAAAGAAAATATACTTGGCATATAGAAATAAATGTAAGAAAATATATAATACCAAAAAGAGGGATGGAATCTACGAAAAGAAAGGATTTATTCTACTAAATAAACGGATAAAAATACGCTAGAGTTCAATATTTTAGCTATTATGCAACAAAATATATAGTGAGAGTTTTCTGAGTGATAAAAGAAATGTAAACATATGTACCCAAAGGTGTATGAACTTTAGTAAAAAAGTATAAAAATACGGTAGAATTCAATATATTAGCTCTTTTACTTGAATATATATGCTAAGAGTTTTCTGAGTGACAGCAATGAATACAAATTTTATAAACCCTAACTATGATTTTTGTTCTGTAAACTGACAGAACTGTAAATTAAAGTACAAATAAGCTGTAGGACATTGCCTAACCTGTTAAAGTTTTATGTGGGGCCTATCTGGCAATTTTTTTGATTAACCGTCCTGCATGACACGAGTCCTTGACCAGAGGCCAGCTTAAGCACGTGCTGCTCAGCTTCCACCAAATAAAACACCTAACCCACTTAACCACTAGCAACAGATTATCACGGCACACGCACACACACACACAATATTTCTATGTATACATATGTATATATATGCACACATGCATGACTAAGTGTGTGTGTGGGTGTTTATATTGTGCGTACTTGCGGTGGCTTTTGTATCATGTTACTCACACATTGTTCTTCAACTCGGGCCATGAGTTTGAGTTTTAGCGTCCTGGTCGCGTTTATTTTTAGTTAAACGTCGCTTATCACTCACATTCTATTGCCGCGCTACCCCCACCACCCCTAGATAGCCCCTTTGTTGGTCAGTTTGTTTTGGCCGCCACAATTGACAGCTGTGAGCAGCCCAAAATGGCAATTATGACGCTTGACTTGTATTTATGAGTAGCTTATTGAACTTGGTCTCGAGTCCTCTCTAAACTTTATAAAGGCTATAACACGCTTTGCTTACTTTGGGTCATAGTCAGGGGAAATTGTTGAACATAATTTTGTTTTTATATTTGATCAAGTTTTGTTTTTGTGGCATGCAAATGGAAAATAGAAATGTGTTAATAGAATTTCCTCGAATTTATTTGCATGATAAAATTAGGTCAACTGCGACATTTCGTTATAATCTACGTCATTTGTGTATAATACAGATGTGAAAGGTCTCTCAGATTAGTTGTTCTTAGTATTTTATCCGACAAAACGCAATTATACAATTTTATTGATATTTAATATTTGTTAAAGTAAGCCAAATGTTTTTCTTTTTTATAATTTATTTAGTAAATAATCGGATTGTAGGGTTGATGTTTTATAAATTTGATTGAGTCAAGTTCTTATATAATTCGAAAGTGCTCAAATGTCTGTTGCACATGACAAAGGGTATATCAAAATTCACCATATCTTTGACATTATTATGTTTAGGCGCCCGACATCCGCATACAAATGCCATTCTTTTTTTTGGGCTAATATTCTGTTCAAGGTTCTGCTATGTCAGCTGTTGGCGGTAGCTTTCACATCCCACATGGAAATGCGCGTCAAAACAAATATATTACGGCCTTTTGTTGGCGGGAAGGGTGCGGGAGGGAGGCTGACCGTCAACTCTTCGGCGCGTCGCTGAGTCTAACAATTTCGCATTTTCAATTTCAGGGCCAACAACAAGTGCGACTACCAATGGCAACAGTTGGGTGCTACTTGTTGTTATACCCTGTAAACGAAAATTGATAAAGAAGGGTTTATGAAAGTTGTGTAAATAAATGCAACGGGAAAATCAGTAAATTACATAATTTCTTTTAAGTGTTTGGTGTAAGAAGTGGAAGTTTAAATTAGATCAATTTATTATTTCTTTTATTTATTTACCGAAATTTAATTACTGAAATATAAAAAAAAATGTAGTTGAGATGCTCTCGACTTATTGCTTGGGTTCGAAATGTTAATATAACTTTTATTATTATGAGAAATATTATTATTATCATTAATATAATTATTATTGTTTGAGTAATTTATAGATATTTAGTTCATTTAAAAATTGTTAATATAATTATTATTGTTTAAGTAATTTATAGATATTTAGTTCATTTAAAAATTGTCGTTGCACATCTTTGATTACTTCCAAATTTTTCATTTATATTATGAATACCGAGTACTATTGGGGTACATTAGAACCGGCTACAGGGTATCTTCTAGCACGGCACTCACGACCAGTTTCTTGTTAATGTTAACTCAGTGGTCGATTGTCGATAGCTGGTAATGAAGTGAAATGACAAGCACAAATGCGTTTGCAGAGCGGAAAAGTGGGCTAAGGGGCAGGGGATTGGGAGGCAACTCCAACAATCATCAACAAGAGTTGCTAGAGTCGCGTCCGCAACTGCCGCGCTTCCCATGACCTTAGCCAGAGTGGAAAGCGGAATTGCTATGCTGCCATGACAACCCCAACCGACTGTAGAGCTGTGTCGCTTCATTGACGAACTGCCGGCGCAGTTGTTTTGGCTATTGATATTTTGTTATTGGTCAGTGGTTAGGTTGATTTATTTTCAATGGAATTTGAGCGGCATAATCATTAGCGACGGGCATTGCGGGCATGGCACGTGCTAGGCAACGAGACGCAACCCAATCTCGGCTCAATTTACGGGGGGAGCCCAGAGCCAGGTCCGTATGAAATGTAGCACGCAATATGTTTTGATAAACACAAAACAGGTCATCAACCCGATGTCAGACCCCCATCCAAAATTATAGACACGAGCATATTTACCCAGCTACGCCATATTCCTCTTTCAAAAGAGTGAACAAGTTTTCAATTCAATGTCTATGCCAAGGTCCCATTGACTACATTCACGGGTCCTTGGGTGCTGCCTGTTGGCATTAGGGTTGCTCACAGCAAAATCTTTTGTATATTTTTATTGCGCAATTGTACATTTTTGTGCTTACTTTGAAGAAAGTACTAAAAGTATTCATAACGAAGTTGATTTAGTATAAAGAAAATCTTATCTTATTATTATTAATAATCAAAATTACTTTGGTTTAAATTGAAAAATTACTTTTATTACTTACTAATTGTGATTCATATATTAACATGAAATTTAGCTGATTAATTTTGTAAATATTATTATTATTTACCTTAAATATTTAAGACTTAAAGATTTGCGATAAATTCTTGTTTTGTTCTACTAAGAAAAACTGCAATTGATTAAAAGTTGCACTTTTATAATTCCTGTCAAACGCCAATTAGTTTTCCTAAACTAGCTTTTATATATTAGACAAACAAATTAATTTACAGTGTTTAGTTAACAGTGTTCTGTTAATGTTGTTGCCATCGCTTTGAAATAAATCTTTTTCCCATGCTATTCACGTGTTCCTGAGCGTAAAATATTTTGCAGCTTTGTTTTGCTCGCACTTTTTCACTTTTGAAGGTGTTTCCACCTTCATATGCATAATACCAAATTATAAAGTGCTTCATTGTTAGTTAAGTTTAACATGAGATTAGTTTGGCTTCATATAAATCAGAGTACCACGAGTATCCCTAATGCTTGCAGATGGTAGATAATATTTCATAGAACTCATTAGTGTGTGTAACAGTTGCTGCCGTTGTTTACACCTTGCTCGACTGCACCACCTGTTCAAGCCCCACCCCGCCGACCGATTCGCATCCCGACTACGCTCGGGATAGCGTGTGAAAATGCGCATGTTATTTTATGGGCTATAGAAAAGCTATCGCAGTAATTAAATTGAAATCAAAACAAAGTTTTTGCCATGCAGCAGACGCCGCACAGACGGCGACTCCGTGGATCGACTAATAAACCTAAGGGTGGCTGGACAGTAGAGAACCTTTTGGGATGCTTTAAAGCCATGGCAACAGATACTTGATGCACATGCTCGACATGGACAGGACCACTCGATGCGTTACGTATACGCCAGGTTGCCGTGTTGGTATTGGTTCATTAGGCACGCGCACTTCCCAATTGTTTCCATGGCTTTGCTTTTGTTTGAGCTCCAAATCCATCTAATTAAAATCTACGCAGCAATGTTTTAAGTCGCAAAAGGTAAAGTCTGGCCCGTCCTGGCCTGGCCTGGCCTAGTCTACTAGCCGTGCCATAATCAGCATGCATGTGGCTGCTACTCAGCTGACGGTGGCGCGTTTTCCTGATGAATATTTATCAGCACAGCAGACATTAATACTTATGTATACACAGATGCCGTGTATGTGTGTGTGTGTGTGTGTGTTCACAATGCACAAACACCAACACAAGCCTTTGAACCATGCGTGTGTTGGTGTGGACAGAAGCAATTATAATACTCTTTTAAGGAGTACGCGGGTCGATTCATTAGAGACAAGTTAAAATACAGAAAGGCAAATGCCGTATGTCAATTCTTGAAAATGCTTTCTGATTTCGACTTACAATGCTCATAGGCTCCAACTTTGAATAATTGTTTGAAGCTCCTTAAAATATTGAGAAGGAAATATATAATTATATATTTATATATTCACATATTTAGTCAAATAGACATACCCATAGATTTCTTCGGATTATTTTTTTCTTTAATTTTATAAATATTATGTTTCCACATATCTTCCACTTGTGGATTTTTACATTAATTTAAACCAATTAGTACAATAATTGTACCTTTATTGCGTTGCAACTTAACTTAATGTTATTTAATCTTTTTAAATGTTCAATATTGATGAAATATGGTTAATAAATTCTTGTATTGAAATTGGGATTTTAATTGGAGACAATCGGTTGAAAAATGTTGCCATTTAATCTATGAACAAATTAATTCAGTGTTATTCAAGAAAAATCATAAACAGTCCTTGGAAATATTTATGGAATAATAACTGAAAACCTTGGTTATATTTTTCTTACCTACAAAATTTATGTATCAGCCCAAATGTTTGTTGTTATGAATTAACATTTGTCTCACGAACAGAGAGGGTCTTTCAAGTACCTTACGTAAGAGAATTAAAGTTTCGGTCTAGTTCAATGCTTTAACACTACCATTTCAATTGTTTACATGGCTGGCTGGGCAAACAGTGTGGACTGCTCGTATCAACCAAATGTCCACATGCACTTGTCCATAATGCCGGGAAGCACTTGTGAGCTGAGGGCCAGACGAGTGCTCGACTCAAGTGATAATTGATATTTTACTGTATTTATTTTGAAGTGTATTGCTTCCAAGTAATCTGCTGATAATTGTTGGGGCGTGGAACGATAATCATTATAATGTTGATGATGATGAATAAGTCTCTGGAAATGTCCCTGGCAATGGCACTGGCCCTGGACGCCACGGCGGCGACGACGACAACGCAAAAAGTGTCCAATAAATGTTTCATAGTTGTCGTTGTCGTTGTCGCTGGCATTGTTGACCTTATCAGAAGCGCAAACACACACACACACATACGTATATCCATAAACAGAGGGTGATATAAAAAATACGCACTCACACCCACGTCTACTGTAGTGCGCCTTGCCGTATACTATAAAATATTTGCTGCCTTTTGTTGCTGCCGCAGCTGAAAAGTATGCAATAATGTTTGGAGTTGAGCCGAAAATATGCGGCCAGGTCTCGTCTAGTTTAGGTGCGACAGCTCGGATGTGGATAACGGCCAGCCAAACTATGCACAAATAAAAAACAAGCAAACAAGCTGATAAGCTCTTGAGTACCCTGTAAAATACTAGAACACATTTAAAATCCATTTGCTTGGTAACAGTTTCTGCTTTATTCATCATAAATTCAAAGTGTTAACTAATAATTATAGGTTAAAGTCAATATATATTAGCCTTAATATCGTAAGCGTTAGAGAAATGTTAATTCTTCCAGGGATCTGTGCTTATAATGGATGGTAAATAGATCTATATATATCTAAATATATAGATTTAAGTTGAAATATTTATATAAGTAATAACCATTAAGGAAACCATTCTTTCGATATAGTAGAAGGGAATTACCATGGCTGCTACATGATACCTTTTGGAACTAATTGAAATATTTACTTTGTATTTATGTGTTTACTGACACATAATTTATTATCTATTTACATCTAATTGAATAAAACTCCATTTAATCAGTCTGCTTTTAGGGTATTGAAAAGGTTCTTCCAGCAGCAGCAGACGGCATTGTCTCGGCTTAGGCCCAAGGCGCTCTAAGCCGCTTCCCTGACGCCTTTTTGCTGACGTACTGTGCGTGCTTTTTCCTGGCCCAGCCATGAATGCCACCTCGCCCAAGTCGTCGCTGGTCAAACTGGGGCTGCATACCAACAAACAAAAGACGCTAAAGGTCATGGTGCTCGGCCAGAGCGGCGTCGGTAAAACGGGTGGGTGTCATTAAAAAACAATGCTTCAGACACGGCCAGGACTCACACCCTGCTCGCTGCTCTTTAATTTGCAGCTATGGTTGTGCGTTTTATTACACGCCGTTTTATTGGCGAATATGATCCGAATTTGGAGAAAATCTATACCTGCCAAACAACACTGGACAAAGAGTCGGTTCAGTTTGACATACTGGATGCCACCGGGCAGCTGCACGTGAGCTGGGTTGATAGCTTAAGAGGATCCGTAATGAAATCTAACTGAACTTTTGCAGGAACTAGATGGCGTTACACTGGAGTCCAATATACGCTGGGCTGACGCATTTATACTCGTCTACTCCATCACAGATAAGTGCTCCTTTGACGAGTGCAGCCGGTTGAAGTTCCTCATCAACTACAACAAGCGAAGACGCAAACTGGGCTCCGCCAGCAAGGTAAGCAGCTGGCTGGACGAGGTAGAGTTGAGATAAGTTGTATTCCAGCTGTATTTTTTGCAGGATTACGCACTGGACATACCCGTCATACTGGTGGGCAACAAGACGGATCAGACGGGCGATCGCATGGTCAGCTTGGAGGAGGGACAACGTCGCTTTCGTGAGCTATCCTGCGCTTGTTTCCATGAGATTTCTGTCAGAGAAAACGTCGACCAGGTGCGTCACATTTTATTTATTCCTTCTCATTCGTTAATTCCCCTTTCGTCTAGGTACAAAACGTATTCCGCGATGTGTTCCGCTTCTGGCGTGTGTTTAGCAAATTTCCAAAGCTCAAACGTTCCACCAGCGACGTGGCGCATGCCGCCGATGGCATCCTAACGCCCGACTCTGGCTCCTGTTCCTTTTACGATGCTTTGCCGCTGGGCGTGGCGCGACGCTCGTTCCTGGTGATCGGCAGCGCATGCCAAGAGGAGAGCGGCAGCGGCGATCACACCGAGTCCACGGATGACATAGCCAGCAGCAGTTTGGGCAGCTCACGCAGCGATATCGATGCACCCTTCCGGAATCGCGCCTCCACCGATGGCACACTGCTGTCCAGGCCCAGACGTTGGCGCTACCCGCCTCCAGGTTGTCTATTGCCGCACACGAATCGTGTCGAGCGACGCATGAGCATCTCGACAAGGGGCAGCAATGCCAGCTACTGAACTGGTGGCCATTTAGTTAGTCCAAATGTTGCGCCAAATATATTTATAGCTAAATGTTCAAATACTTAAAGCGAAAGCATTTATTTCGATTTTACGATTATTTGTAATGAGATTTATTTTTTAAATGGCTACTAAATATGTTCTAAATACAAACATGGATGTCGATTTTTACCTGTCCCAAACATGAAGACCAAAACACACTCGGAAAGGCCTCCTCGTGGAAAGGCATATTATAAGAATGGAAAATTGGCCGAAAACTATTATAAGAAACATTTTAATTTTCTATCCGCTGCGCTCTAAAATCGTTTTCGATGTGCAAATTTATTAAAGATGGGATTTTCAATTTTAGCGGAAGGCGAAAAAAAAACAAATAAGAATTTTATGACAGCCGGACAGAGCTGGGTTATAATTGTTAGCCCAATTTTAAGAACAAGAAAATTGAATCATTTACTGTAGTTAGGGGATTTGGAAAACTACATCCGCATCTTTGGAATATTATTGGAAAACTAGTAGACTTTGTTACTGCATCGTGGAAGGCCCACACTCGGATGAAAACGAGTCATTCAACCTTCCAAACAATAATAATCCGGAGATTTTATGACTAATGTGGAACAAGAAATCTTGGCCCCGGAAATGAGTTTTATACAAATAATTTTCCATAATTATCAATCCTATAATCCAAATTCAAACCTAATTTAACCCATCTCAAAGCTATGAAAAAAACTTTACTTCATTTTCATTTTCAATTTTTGTAGTCGCTTTTGGGCTACATTTATTTGCACTTCCAACAATTTGAACATTAAACGCATAAATATTATGAAAGACATTACATTGCACATTACAGCTAAGAGATTCTCTCGGAGAGCCGTGCTAATCATCGTCAATCTTAAGCATATATTCCTCGGCACGCAGGGCGAGCTCACGGATGTTGCGGAGGCAGCCAGCGGCGGCGAGCTGAAGCTCCTTGTTGGTGGAGCCAATGCACTCCAGCAGGAAGGGCACCACTCCGCTCTACGAGAAGAAAGGTTAACTCGTTAGCTGGGAACAACTGATTCCGAGGCTATTTAATACTCACCTGGTGCATGGTAATGCAGTTCTGTGGATCCATAGAGAGTTTCTCGAGGGCCATGGCCGTGGTGCGATGCACCATCGGATTGTCGCTGGTCATATAGGTGACAATGGGTGTCACGGTGCGCAGACGTCCCAGCTCCTCGGTGTTGTTGCCAAAACAGGCGCACGCTGCGACGGCCGCTGCCAGATTCATGCGCAGCATATCGTCCGTGGTGTTGACCAGATCAGCCAGCTTGTAAATGACGCGCAGATCTGTGAGAATGGCCAGATTGGTCTGGTCCAAGGCAATGGTAGCGATGGCCGCACACACCGCCGACAGCACCATGACTTCCTTGGACTTGAGCAGACCCACTACCAGCTCCATGGCGCCTACCAGGCTGCGCACCAGCTCCGCCGAGTCAGTGGCATTCTTCACGCAAGGACAAATCGCATAGGCGGCATGGGCCTGAACACGGGGACTGGTGTTCTTGAGCAGTGACCAGACCAGACGTACTGCATCCAATTCCTCCAAAATGCGCATGCTCTCCGGATCCTCGGCGCACTCCTTGATCGCCTTGGCCAGGTTTTCGAGCAGCGGCGAATGCGAGGAGTTGAGCAGAGCCACCATGGCTGGCAGGCCGCCAGCATTGCGTACTTGGACGCGATTATTTTGAAAGCGTACGCATTCGGACAAAGCGCCCGTGACATTGGTCAACACGTCGTCGCACTCATCGGCGAGCAGGGCCACCAGATGATGAATGACATTCATGTCGTCCAATTGCTCGACATTCTCATCCGACATGGCACACATCCAAATGGCGCCCGTTGCGCCCCGGATCAGTGGCTTATTATCACGCACTGTCTTGTCCTTGATGATGCCAACCAGCGGCTCTAGTCCGCCCGCCTCGCGTACCAAATCCCGGGTGGTTGCATCAAAGGCGCATTTATAGAGCGCCGTGCTGCCCTCTACCTTGAGATCAATGCACTCCGAATTCAAATGGTTCACAATATCCGCAATCATGCCCTGGGTGGTGATGGCCAGCTGAAATTTTGGCTCCGACGAACATTTTTGGACAGTGCCCATAATCGGTATGACCACATCGATATGAACGGACTTCAGAAGGTTGGCCATTAGGGGCACAATGCCACTCTTCCGCATCTGTTCCATATTGTGCTTGGAGTCGGCCAGCGTCCAAAGGGCACGCGATCCGGCTCGGGCCATGTCCAGGAACGCGATTTCCTCAACGGTAAGTTGGCTGCGAGGCGTTTGCAGTATGCTGCAGCGGATCGGAAACGAAATACACACACACACACATATATATACTAATATATAAGAGCCTTGATATAGCTACCTCATTACAGTACCTCATTTTGATGTCCAGCAGATCGACCAGCTTGGAAATGCCGCCACATTTGCGCACATATTTGCGTGCAAGACGAACTTTGCTGACATTCGACAAGGTTTCGGCGGCCATGGTTTTCAAATCTTTCATGGACGAACTCAGAATATCGACAATCAGCGGTATCCCATCGAGATCGACAATCGTCTTGCGTATGTCAATGTTGAGCGTTATATCGGAGAGGACGGAAAGTGAGCCCAGGCAGCACTTGGTATCGCTGCACTCGAGTATGTTGACCAAGACATCCAGTCCACCAATATCTTGGATAGCGAACTGATTGATTTGCGTGCGCAGATCGTAGTCCTGCAGGCAGCAGAGGGATACTATTGTGGCTGTCTGATTGCCCGCCTTGATGTATTTCACCAGCTTCTGTATGTTGTAATATTCGGCGGGTATTTCGGCAGCTCGGGCCACGTCCTTCCAGCGTTCCTCCTCATCCGTTGAGGATTCCTCTTCTGTGGTATCGGAATCTTCGACAACCACTTGACGCTTGTCCCGAGAGAAGCGATCCGGACAGGAACCGCATTGTTCGCGGATCTTTCGTGGACGTCGTGGCGCACCGGTGCCAATCATCGTGGAATACAAGTTTTTAATATACTTATATTTAACTTGTCATATACAAGTGCTCAGTGATGGGCTTTTGCTGTTGTAGAACTTGGTTGTTCATGAATTTTTGTGCTTACGTTAAGGAATTTCAAAATCTTATAACAAAAATCGATTAAATAACATTTGTTGCCGGGGCAACGTTAACAAAGTTTCCGTACGTCAGTACGTGTATATTTGTATTTGCACATTTCGCTAACAGCTTAACAAAAACAATAAACACTTGCAACTTTTTTTAATTAGTCCGATCTTAGATCATATGCTAATAACGCTAAGTGACTTTAAAACCAGTTTTGAATATCCCGCCGAACTTTGTGTTAAGGCTGCATTGCGGCGAATTCATGAAGCAGTATTTTCTTTGCTTAGTTTGGTCTCATTGTGTTGGATATTTGGTTATTGCGAGAAATACCAATACAATGAACACTTTTTTATTTGTTTTTTTTTTTTCTGTTTGTTATTAGATAAATTGTTTTTTCCAAAAAATCATCAAGAAAGGTTGACTTTACAAACAAATCGTTTTTTGGTTAACAACTTTTTTGAGCCCTTCGGATCTTAATTTTATTGAGTGCCAATTGATAGTAGGGATCCATAAGAATTCAAAAAAGTCAAATATTTCCAACTCAGACGATATTTACCAGAGATATTCCAAAAAAATCATCACAAAATTTTTGGTTTTCGCACCGTTCTCGATTTTGATAAAAAACGGAAATTATTTGGTCGAGATATTCCAAAAAATCTTCGAAGAAGGTTGACTTTTTTTGTCAACAACTTTTTTTGAACCAAAAGATAAAGAAGATGCAGAAGCAGAAATCTGCGAGAAAAATGTTATTGAACCAACCAGAAAAGAACCAGGCGGAAGGTATACAGTTACCATTCCGTTTTAAGAAGAGAAAGAGTTAGGAGAGTCAAGACCACAAGCAATGGTACGGTTTCTGAACTTAGAGAAAAGATTCTTAAGCTGAAGGAAAGTTACAGGAAATTCTTAAAAGAGTTTATGGACTTAGGACATATGGTCGAGTCCATCGAAAAGGGCAAGTTTTCTTTACCTCATCAAGCAGTGTTAAGAGACTCTAGTCTCACAACCAAGTTGAGAGTAGTTTTCGATGCATCCGCAAAAACCGCGAACAACAAAAGCTTAAATGATATAATGTGGGTGGGACCCAGAGTCGAAAAGATATTTTCGACTTCGTATTAAAATAGCGCAAGTGGCAGTTTGCCGTCTCTGCAGATATAGAAAAAATGTATCGGCAGATTAACGCTGACAAAAAGGATCAACAATATTTGTATATTCTGTGGAAAGAAACTCCAAATCAGCAGATTAAAAACTTTTAACCCCATATTTAGAAACAAGAGCGCTAATAGAGATAGCCAATAATTGTAAAGACCAAATCATTGGGGAAACAAACAGAAATTACTTTTATATGGATGATCTGATGTCAGGAGCAGACTCCATACCTGATTGTCAGAAGAAAATAAAATAAATTTCTTTGGAGCTAGCGGAAGCTGGTTTTAATTTGAGAAAATGGATTGCAATTAAACAAGAGATTATAGAACATGTAGAAAATACTGAAGAAAATAAAGTAATAGCGATTAAAGAAAATTAGTCAATTAAAACATTGGGATTACAGTGGGAACCCTTGAAAGACGAATTCAAATTTAAGGTCAATTGTGGGGGCTCAGAAAATATAAAACAAAAGACAAGTATTATTCACGCTTGCAAAGATTTATGATCCATTAGGTTGGCTAGCCTCGGCTACAGTTGTAGGAAAATTATTCATGCAAAAATTATGGTTAATAAACAAAGATTGGGATGACAAACTAAGCAAACTAAGACAATTATATGCATGGAGTGACTCTACAATTACGTTAACTTGGATAAAAAACAGTACAAATAAGAACAAGTTCATAAGAAAAAGAACTGAAGAAATAAAAAATACAAATATAAATTGGGATCATGTAAAATCAGAAGAGAATCCAGCGGATGCGGCCTCAAGAGGAGTTTGTCCAAGTAAATTAA